CCTAAACCCTAAACCCTCGAAGGTCCTTTGGCTCGTCAGCTCTATATCTTTGCTCATCACCGTCGGCTTCATCTCTGTGTGGGGATGGCGGGAGCACAGGCTTGGCCTAAGATAGGGGGCCTTAATACTTATAACTTATAACTCCTAGAACAGAGTTTTGGGATGTATATTAAGATAAATTAGAATGATCACNNCCCCCCCCCCCTCCAAAAAAAAAACTGTTCTAATGATTAAGGCCCCTACATTAGCAAAGTTGGAGGATTAATGCAGGGGCCTGAAACTAATTGCCTATACCGTTTTGGGAGGGTTCCTTATGATAAGTATAATAGTATATTGGACCTCAAAACCCTATTCGAATTATTAAGGCCCCTACATTAGCAAACTTGGAGGATTAACTGGAATAAGGTTTCGGGTGTATTGTAGCATAGTTGAATATAGGGACTTGGAGGAATAGTAGTAATCACGCAAGCCCCTATATCTGGTTTAGACTAGAGTTTGGCGACTGTATATAGGGCTACTTGAGTGCATGTTTCAGCATCGGGTAAGACTTGTACAAACCTTGCTTCACGTGACCTGTCTTGGGTGCGTGGCATCTAAACCTAAACCTTTCGAGCCCCTAAACCCTAAACCCTAAACCATAAACCCTAAACCTTTCGAGCCCGAGCCCTAAACCGACAACTGCGGACACCGCACCCGCAGCCCCTCTAACACACGACCCCGAGGCTGCGGCTAGGGCTCAGGGTCAAGGGTATTGATTATGAACTCTTAACCCAAGAACACTCATCCTCGTGGGGTTTTAAGATCTGAGATTTAGGTTTAGGCTTCAATTTAGACTTCAAGATTAGGGTGTATCTGCATGGTACAACCGCTCATTTACATTGCAGTTGTATCATAGACTTCGCGTATCCTTTGCCTTCGATCTGCACTCAAAAGGCCCTGTGTACAACTGGGCATGTTTCCCACATCCACCCCTCAGCAGAGGCGAAAATGAGCCCCGCGCAGTATGACAAATGGTCGACATCTTGAGGCATTGGATTGTTACATAGGCGTCTTAGCCTTAGCAGCTCGTAGCACTTCACTTCTCGAATGTATCTGCAGCAGAAAGCCCAGTCGCATCATGACAGCCTCTGTTTTGCATCGCTGGCCTGAGCTCCGAGGCCCGTCACCCTCGTTTTTCTGAATCCCGGATTCCCTCAATCTTGCAGCCCATCCTAGACCTTCAGCCCCAAGCCGTCGTTGACAGGGCCTGCAGTAAGATGCTGAAAAAGCGGCCCATGCGTCCACTGGAACTGCAGCTGGCGAGCCTTCTCCGCAAATACGCAGTTGGCTTCAACTTTGTGCATGAAGGGTTTACGGCCAAGTTTAGGGTTTAGCGTTTAGCAGGGCCCACTTGTTTTGAACAAACCCTCGCGAGCCCGGCAGAAACGGAACTGAACCCAAACAACCCTGACGAACCAACCAGTGACAGCTTAAACTGTGATTGTTTAGTAATTAGCCAGTATTCATGACCAGTATGTTGTCTTTAGCATGATCTAAATCGTTTAGTAATGTAAGTCAAACACAATCATTTCCGGGGGAGCCATTCAACAATTGGAAGCTGTTTTGCCGTGGATAGTCGGGCTGCCACCTGGATGAGTACTTGG